CGTGCCACGCTCCGGCCCGCAGTAACGCGTGTCATTAACTGCCACGAGAACCTGAACCGGCGCAGGGGGAGGGGAGAGATTTTTTTTTTGTGGTTCCATCGGTCGCGGTGGTAGTTTAGGAGCGAGGAATGCGCCTGCTCGTCGTCTTGCCCCGTTCCGCAGAAGTGGTTTGGATCAAGGAGCACGCGCTTCACCAAATGAAGCAGGAAAGATGAGGCAGTCACCACAAAAAAAAAAAAAAGTCCCACACGTTCTTACCGCGATAGCCTAAGAGCGGTAATCTAATTCTGTTCCCTTTCAAACTGTTTCAAGGCATATATGTGTGTGTATATATATGTGTATATATATCCTCCAGGTTTCAGTGGGCGTCTTTCTGCTGCTCTGTTATCATTATTTCTTGCCTTGATGTGACGTTGAAGACAGATGACAGCATTGTCAGGTTGTCTTTAATTCATTTGAAGATTAAAAAAAAAAAAAATACACACACAAGGCTTCTTACAATATTCAAAGCCTGAACGGATTTACTTTTTTCACAGAGGGGACAGGGTGGCGGGGAGGGGGGAGCGGCTGATGAATTTCAGACACGAAGAGAGAACAAAGTCTTTGCAGCGCTGTGTGCGCGCACACGCGCGCAGAACAAGCGGCCGGAGGTGGGATTTTTGCAGCAGCAGCACCTGGGTTGATCTGGATGGAGAAATATCCAGCATTAGGACAGTCTTTTCACATTTATGCACAAGTCCAAATGAATAATCTGCTCAAATTTCAGCCCCGTCTCTGCTGCCAAAGCATTCCACCTCCGAAGAGGTGGGAGCATACGGACTCGGGGTCCGTCTTTTTTCTTTTGACACCTTTATGCTTCATCGCAACAACCTTTTACCTTTTTATTTTTTTTATAAAAAAAAAAAAAAAGGGGGCAATCTGTCCCGAATTTCCTAGGACTGAGCTGAGAGAAAGAGATTTAGGAGGGATTAGACACCTCTGCTCATGACTGATCGCTTGCCTGCCGCAGGTCTGTTGGTGAAGCCCACGATTCTGGGCTTCGAGGTGCAGAATCGTGGGGTGGGGGGCTCGGCTTGGGGTTGGAAATATTCGAAATTATCCCCCAAATCTGGATGGAAAAGAGTTTTGATGCTGGTAACTCCAGCGATTTTCCAACTTTATATTCGTTCCTTAAAAAAAAAAATAAAACAACCCACAAAGACAAAAAAAAAAAACCAAACCAAAAAACCAACCCTAAACGGCGCTCTACGAAAAGGCTGTAGGGAGTGTGAAGCAGTATTTAAGCAAGGCGGCATCTCTCTCTGTCTTTTCTAAATATGAAAAAAAAAAAAAAAAACCAAACCAAAAAACCAACCCTAAACGGCGCTCTACGAAAAGGCTGTAGGGAGTGTGAAGCAGTATTTAAGCAAGGCGGCATCTCTCTCTGTCTTTTCTAAATATGAAAAAAAAAAAAAAAAACCAAACCAAAAAACCAACCCTAAACGGCGCTCTACGAAAAGGCTGTAGGGAGTGTGAAGCAGTATTTAAGCAAGGCGGCATCTCTCTCTGTCTTTTCTAAATATGAAAAAAAAAAAAAAAAACCAAACCAAAAAACCAACCCTAAACGGCGCTCTACGAAAAGGCTGTAGTGAGTGTGAAGCAGTATTAAAGCAAGGCGGCATCTCTCTCTGTCTTTTCTAAATATGAAAAAAAAAAAAAAGTTTGAACGCTGTTTTTACAGACTAGGAATGTGCATTTAGTTTTGTTTCGGAAAGCTTGGGCCTTTCAGGACTCCACTTGCCTGGGCGATTCCGAGGGTAAATGTGGGCAGTTCATTACCAGCCCCGGGTTAGAGAGCAGAGGGTCGGCCCCAGCCACCGCCTTGCGCCCACCTTGCTGCCTGCCTTGAGGGTCCCTTCAAAGGCAGCGGGTGACTTCCCGGGCTTAAAAAAAAACCCGGAGCTTCTTATCGCTGAGGAAAATCTTCCCGTCGTAAAGGCATCCCTCTATTTTAGCTCTAGCCTACGTTTTGCACTCTAAAATCAGGCAAGCAAACACGCACGTGTTTGGTGTGGACTTGTACGCCTAAGCCAACACACATATGCCCATGTAGGCTCAGATATATTACAGAAACTCCTTTGCTGTCTGTGGAGTCTGGTGTTTTATTGTTTCATAAAACTAGCTTAATTACATTTCCCCGTAGATAAGATAAACAGAACCCTTCTTTTTCTAAGCGTTGCTTATCAGAAGTATTTTGTCGAAGTGGCATCCAGAGTAAGCCTTTGAGAGCGGATGGAAATGCATTAATTTTTATTTTGGTGCTTCAGTTGCACTTAGCATCTGACGAGAGTTGATTTAAATATTACATGAGTTTATCTTTAATGTTCAAAAAAGATTTGTGAGAAAGACGAAACTGTTTAATTTAAACTAATGTATGCCTGACTCTGGTCAGATTGATCAGAGTTTCGGGGTTTGATGGGTTTTGCCCTTCTGTTGCTTGTCCTCTCGAGCCGGTTTTTCACTGTGAAATTATTTTAGTTCGGTGGCATGGACCAGCGGCTGCTGTCAACTCCAGAACCCATCCAGTTAGTAAGAACGGGGGGGCGGAAATAACAAATGTAGTCCTTTTACCTAAAAACATTAATGTCCATAAGTCAATCTCTATTAAGGGGGAAGAAAAAAAAAAAAGGAAAGAAAAAAAAAAAAAGGCAAATTTCCTAGATTAATATCAAAATCCTAGGTGACACTTGCCAGGTCAAATACTTAACAAGCCTGGAAGAGAGACCACCTTACCACCATTCTACATATAAAATAAGCTATTTTAATTTTTCATTAATCTCGGGGACGGTACGTGAGCAAAACAGTAATAATAACGTTAGGTGTTCATTTCATCACTTGCACCAGAAATCTTTAGGCTTTTAATTTTTTTTTTTTTTTTTTTTTTCGGAGCCGAAATCCCCAGAACTGCAGTCAGGGCTGCAGGAACGCAGCAATCCCTCTCGCGATCTGTCTGAACCGGCCCCCGCAGCACCTGATTGCGGGTGGGTTTTAACGAGCCAGGTCCGAGCTGCAGCTGTTACAAATCTGTAACCGTAAAATACCGCGAACGGGAGAGGGGAGCGGTGTGCGCGGTGGCGGGGTTTTTTAGCCGCGGCAAATCTGTAAGAGTTGCTTGCACGCCCGGATGGAGCCTCCGAAATGTAATTTTCCTCCCAGTGAAGGGTGGTTAAAATAGCGAAGCGGGGAGGGCAGGCTGGCCGGGTTGCGGGAGAGGGCGGGGGGCGTGCGGCGGGGCTTGCCGGCTGCTTCTCCCATCCTCCGACCCGCTGGGTGAACCCTCCACCACCGTCACCCCCGACCCGCAAAGCCCTTCTTTCCATCACTTGCTGCGTTCCTATCCGCTTCCTATTTTATTATGAAAGTTGTCTCGGTGCGGTTACCAGCGCTGCCCTCCCCTCCTTTGCCCTAAACCCATCGGTTCACAACCAGAGCTCATTTTACATTCCCTAAAGCAGCCATACGCGGTGATCCCTTTCCCATTTAAGGGGGGGGAAATTATATATACACTTGGTTAAAACACAAAGCATCTCTTTCGGATCAGCGTCCCAAAAGAGCCCGGCGTCCCCCGTGTGCCTCCCGGTCCCGGTCTCAGCCCCAGCTCCGCTCCCGGTGGACGCGACGCGCCGGGACGGGGCGGGCGAGCGCTGGAGCTGCACCAGCTTTTCTCTCCTTCGCGCGTTAACGCTAACTTCCACTAATTATCTGGAGTAAATGTATTAGACTAATTAGCATCTGGGCACCACGGGAAACTTTGAACAGTAATTATATTGTGGGGGATACAGAACGAGGGAGGAAAAAAAACCCCAGCGATTCGCCGAGCAAAGTCGCCTCTTCCAACTCTTCCCCCCGCGTCGCGGCGGGGCCGGGGCGAGGGCAGCCCCGCAGCGGGGGGAGAGGGGCTGTGCGGGGGAGAGGGGCTGTGCGGGGGACAGCAGGCACTCGGCTCCGCCTGAGCCGCCCCTCGCCAGCGCCTGGCAGACCGCGGGAGCAAAGCTCTTCTCCGGCGTCGCCTTTTACGGGCTTGGGTATCGCTTTTCCGTCTATCTCGGCGGCAAACCGTTTGTCCCCGCAGTTTCGGTAGCCGCTCCGGTTTTTCCGTCGCAGCCCCCGCTCCTACCTGAGTGCAGGACGACGAGCCGGAGCCGGGCGCCGGCCCTGGCCGCTGGGAAGCCCGGGCTGGGGAGGCAGAGACGCGGCGCAGGCAGGGACAGCCCCTCTCGGTATCACGTCGAGTTTGGAACTGCACCTCAGCAAACTCGGACCAAATAACGGATGGACTTCTTTTTTTTCCCCCATCCCTTCCTTTTTAAAAGAAAAGGAGTTCTCAGAGTTGTCCGATTTTTTTTTTTAACGTGTGATGATCATTTGTGCTGCTGAACGAACTGAAGAAAGAAATGAAAATAACTAGATGAGATCAAACAGCGCTTCCCTAATTGCTTCTGAACCTCTCATTTAGAAAGAGACGAATAGCTATGCATTACACTGTAAAAAAACCCAAAAAAACAAAAAAAACACCAAAACCAACCTTTCAGATAATCTTCTTACTCTTTTACAAATAAGTCCTGCCTTCCCCGTTTCTTTCTAAAGAAAGAACGAAGTCTTTTAATTGAAATCCAGTTTTAAAAAACAGGTTTTCACAATAAAAACATTTTTTTTAAAAAAAAAGTTAATCTCCCTTAGGGGAGTGAAAAAGATTTAACCGATTCTCAGTTTCCCTATTTCTTCCCTAAGAATTCTACTGAAGGGGGGAAAAAAAAAAAACCTACTCCCATCTGATCTTTTTTTTTTTTTTTAAGAGAGCCCTGAGGTTACAATAAAAAAACTTTTGGGTTTTTTTTTATTATTTTTAATTAAAATTGAATAAACGCTTAAGGAGAAATTAGCAGTTGCCTCCATCCAAGACCTACTCGGGTTTTATAACAGAATCAAAGCGTATTTAAAAAAAAAAAAAAAGTAAAACCTTTTAATACATCAAATATACGGAATTTTAATCTTTAAAGCGATACATTGTCTATTTTAGTACATGACGTAAACCTTACTTAACCCTTTTTACAGGGTGGACTTAAAAATTAAAAATAGTTAAGTGTTCCTTTTAAAGAACAAAATAAGGCAAATGAGGTTTTTGGAATAGAATTGTTTTTGTTTTTCTTCCAGAATACATACAAAAAAATACCAATTCTCTTTCAAGGGTATACACCTTAAAAATAATTGCAATTTGAAATTATAACTGACAAATTGCGAGTTGTTTTTTTAGTAACAAACATGCATGTAAATTTTTTTTTTGTTTCAATGAGACATTAAATAAGAACGTACAATACAATCATAGCAATTTTAAAGTAACATTAAAGAGAAGACCTCTATCTTTTTATTTATATTCTACAATGGGTGTTCCACTTTTACCTATTGAGCTCAGTTAAGTAATGCACTTTATGATTCGTTGTCCCGCTTGAAGCTAACATAAATAAATACAGTGCTCATGGATCCAGTCCTCAAATGAACACTATTTTATAAAAAGTCAGATTTTTTTTTTTTTTTCTTTCCAACTTTTATAAAGTTTCGCAGGGCTTCCTTCCCTCACCGCTAGACTCTGTGTTGTGTTGTGTGTCACAGCCCCCCGCCGCCTGCGCTCACTGGTACCCCAGGGCCGAGGCTGTGGTGAGTCTCTGCCCGTAGAGTGCGTAAGGGGAGTAGTAGGGTCCGGTGGCGGCGGGCACGGGCACGGGGGCCCCGGGGGTGGGCAGGGGGCTCTTGGAGTAAGGGTGGTAGCGGCTGCCGAGTCCCAGCGCATGGTGCGGGCTGCGCAGGGCCAGCGTGCCCGGGCTGCCCGGGGCGCCCGTGGTGGGGATGTGCATGTGGCACGCCATGGCCGCGGCCGCCGCGCTGGCCAGCGAGGAGGAGCTGGGGTAGCTGGAGAGGAGTTTATCGGTGCCCGGGAAGGCAGTATGGGTCCGCAAGTGGCTAAGCAGCTCCTCCGAGGTGGCGAAGCGCTTGTCGCAGGGTCCGTTGGCCGACACCCAGTTGCAGATGTGCGGCTGGGGGTCGTTGGGGAGCATGAAGCCGTAAGGGTACAAAGGGTGGCCGGCCAGCGAGGGCGGCGTGGCGCCGGTCAGCGAGGAGTGGACGCTGTGCAAAGGGTGGGTGGGGTAGACGAGGGGGTATCCGGACTTGAGGGCCTGGTCGTGGGCGCAGGAGGCGCCGGCGGCCCCTGCCAGGTGGCTGGCGCAGTGGTAGCTCAGGCAGTAGGGGTCTCGGCACAGGCTCGCCGTCATCACCGACGGCGGCGACGCGCCCGCCAGCGGGCTCGACCCCGCCGGTTTGCTGCAGCCCAGGCTGCTGGCGGCGGCCAGCTGGGCCCCCACCAGGCTGGAGGATTTGGTGGGGTCCAGCGCCACTCCGTGCGGCAGGAACTGGGGCGGGTAGCCGGCGTAGGCTCCAGCCAGCGTCCCCGGGTAGCTCATGCCCGCCGGGGGCAGGGGGAAGACGGTCTGGCCCGGCTTGTAAGGGGAGACGGGGGCCACGAGGCCGGAGCCCAGGACGGAGGTGGAGGAGGTGGCGGTGGTGCTGCTGCAGGAGGAGGCGGAGTCCGAGGCGATGGGCTTGGAGCCCGGCGTGCTCTCCTGGTGCTGGTTGACCTCCACGTTAATCCCGGCACAGCTCACGCTAATCCGGCTGTGGCTGATGCTGGTGGAGCCCGGGCCTCCCTCCGAGCCGGAGCCGCCGCTCTTTCCGCAGCCCTCCGAGTCCTTCTTGTCCTCCCCGCCTTTGCCCTCGGCCGGCAGCAGCCCCGGCGAGCAGGCGGAGGCGCTGGAGTTGGGGCTGCCTGTCCTTGGGGTGAACGGCTGGCAGGTGGCGCTCGGCACCCGGAATCCCGACTTCTCCCCGGCCGCGACCCCCGCGGCGGGGGCGCCCGCGCAGCCCGTCGCCCCCGGCTCCTTCTTCTCCGCGCCCGGCTTGGAGTAGGGCTTGAAGCTCGACTTGTCCTCCACGCCGATGTCGCTGAGCTTCAAAGGGCCCGACTTGGAGTCCTTGTCGCCTCCGGAGCCATTGGAGGTGACCGAGGAGAGTTTGGAGGAAGGGGACGGGTCCGGCTTCCCTATCTGCGAGCAAGTTTGTGCCAAAAGGGCCAGGGGACTCTTCTTTGCATCCAGCTGCGGAAATCAGAAGGACATACAAAGGCAGAGGTTTAATCGGGTTCTAAGAAAAACCCCGGGGCGTACCTAGGGCACTCGTCCCGTACGTTTTCGCAGAGAACAGCCTGGAAGTCGCGAACAATTTTGTGCGCGTTCATCGCCCTGACAGCCCCCTCCCCTGCATGCACCATTTTCCACAAAGCCTTGTAAAAAAGGGGCTGGGGATTTTTGTATCCCTGCGAGCCCACCGCGGCCGCCTTCAGCGCCGGCTGCTTCCCCGGCGGCGGCCCGGGCAGCGCGGAGCTCGGCGCCCCGGCGTTTGCCTCCCCGTCCCTCCGGCCGCCCAAACCCGGCCGTGAACTATAGCGACTGCAGCATTTCTGCGCCCTGACTGTTGACACTATTTATAAATAGAGCCCGAGCGAGCCGGGCTCCGGGGGAGAGAGGGGTGTCCTCGCTCCGCAGAGACCATAATGAAATCATTCATTCCCACGGACACACCCTTCCCACCACCCGCTCCCTTTTCCAGTTTCGGTCCCTCAAACAGCCACCGACGCGCACAGGGGGACCGACAACCTCGACAGAGGAGAAAAAGGACGAACAGGGGCCCCAAAGTACAAATGCGTGCCGGTACTTGAAAGGGAATGGTCGGGGAGCTGAAATAGTTCTCCTGCCG